AAGATTAAATTTTTTTCTGTCTAGAGATTTTGACGTAAATCGAGGCGTCAAACTGTACTTAATTAAAATGCTTCGGTTCTGTTCCACTTCAAAAATCATTCTAAGAGCAATTAAACTAAACACAAAAAAAGGGCGTTGTGTACAAGGACAAGTAGAAGACAAAATCGGTTTTGTCATTGTTACATAGCATATGTTAATATTATAAACAATATACAAAATTAAAATAGAAATTTCATTTACTAAAAATGTTTCTTTTTTTTTTCGTTGTAAAAAGAAGAAAAAAAAAGATTATCAATCTATTTAATGTATTCTAATCTAAACAATAGACAAGAAGCTGTATAATTGCAATACATCTTATGATAATGTGTTAAAACCTTAACATCTATTAAAATTAAATATTAAATGAATAGTTTTACCTGCGAGACTGGATAAGGAAGCAATAGCTATAGGACTAATTGAATTTGTAAAGTCTTTTTGTTGAGAATATTGTTTTACTTTTGACACTTGACGTATAATATCATCATCTTCTTCATCCGATTCACGTTCACCAGTAGTAACTTCCATACTTTCTGTACGTTTTTTTCGTCGACTTCTTGGATACATATTGAAATAATTGTCGGTAATAATTCTCGTCAATTATACTTGGGATGCCAGTTTTCATGAGCTTAAATTGTAATAATGAATGTTCCGTGTTTCTTCACCTATTTGTTTGTTGACGAACCACCTATTGGCAAGGTTTAACATCTTGACTTTTGTAAGACATTTCTCTTCAATATTCACACACGCATATATATATATATATATATTATATATATATAGACACACACACAGGAGAGAAAACAAAACGAGTTATATAGAGGTGCACTTCTTGTTCATTTATAACAAAAGTTTGAAGAGGAAAAAAAAATCAAGAAGACAAAGAATTTGTATGCGTGTGTACAGGGATACGAGAGATGTTGCACTTATATATACAGAGAGTTTGATCGACGTAATATCAACATGAATAAGAAGAAAAGAAGGAGATCGAGAAGAATTTGTATAAGTGATCATTCAAAAAGAATAAAAAAAACACACAGAAGGTGTGAGAGTTTTGGATGTAGCTGTTGCTACTATATTTATATAAGAGAAGCTGCTTTTTTCATTTTCTCGTCATCTTTTTTTTCTCTCGCTCTATCCATTAAAATTCTAACCTTGATCATCTCAATTTATAAAAACATGTTCATCATTAATGTCTCTTTGATTTCGCAAAAGAAAAGAACTATTTCTTTTACATTTTTTTTTCTTCTTTTTCTCGTCATTATTTCAGACATTTACATAGACATATTCGTAATGAATAGTTATTTGAAAATATGGTTATGTTTTCTTTTGGGAATACTGTTTCAAGTATTGTTAAAACGAACATATTCAATCGTACAATTTTAGACAGAATAATAAACGAGTAAAAGTAAATTAAGAGACATGTTGGCAATAAAATGTAAAAAGAAAAAAAAAGACAGAACAAAAAAAAAGTATGTTACCATTATTTACATAATTGACAATAGATTTTTTTTAATATAAAATCATTATTAGTTAAAAAAATAAAACTAAAACATGAAATTAAACGCATGATTACTAAATACTTCACTTTTTTTATATTAAAGCAAGCCGACATTAAGGTTGATCATTGTCTCGACAACGATAGGATTATAAGAAATTTACTTATTTAATCACTGACTTCTATTGACATCTTTCGAATGTAATATTCTAGCGATTCGGTATATTTTAAATGATTGAGGTTAGTTTCGATTTATTGTAGCAATTTAAATTTAAAAAGAGAGAATAACTGTCTTATCGTTTATTGATTGTATGAGATAATGGATTATATTGAATAATATTACTTGATGTTGGTAAAATAATGTTTGCTTGACAAATACATACACATTGATCTGATGAATAATATTCTGGCGGTAATGACTAGAAATTGAATAGAAATAAGAAGAAAATTTTATAAAAACAAATCGGCTATGTTTGTAAATACCATATTGGCGATTGATATTACTTGAGATGGACGATACGAATCAATACAGACATTTGGTAATTCAATGGATGAAGAATTATACTAAAAGTAATGGAGATAAATAAAGAAAGAAAGATATTGAAAGATTACATTTGTTGTTGGAAAACAAGCATTAACTAATAATTTAACATTTCGTGGTGGTTGTCCATCGATAGTATTTAAGAAAGTTATAACTAATGTAGCTGCTGCATTTGAAGGTAAATTTTTTATACTTGGATTAAGAGTTATAGATGATCGTATCGATCCTTGTGGTGATTGTATTATCGGTTGATTTGATATTTCATCAAAAAGTGCTACATCAATCTGATTCACATTCGGTGATAATATACTAATCGATGAGAATACTGCTGACATACCACTATGTAAAAGAACAGTCATTGTAGTACCAGTTGAAATAAGATTGCATCCATTACCAGCTGGATCAAGATCACTGGTCACATTAGTTCCATCATCGAATATAATCAATTCAACATCGGGATGATTTGTTAAGGATACTTGTGGGCAATTATTCGATGATATAGCGGACTAATTAAGTATATAAAAAATTAAAATAAACAAACAAACAAAAGGTTTCTATGTACTTCATTTGAATTGATTGTCAATGGAAAACATGCTGTTAAACCAAATGTAACAGTATTTGGTGATTGTTCATCAATTGTACTTAATATACTTATATTAAAACTAGTAACAAGAATATTTGGAATATCTGTTATAACAGGTATATCATTCACCATAGTTGAAGTATATTCAACATCTGTACCATCATTATCAAATAAATGTATTGTAAATGTATTGATATTTGTTTGTGAACCTGTTGATATAGTTGTAAGTGTAGCTGGTGATGTAAATTCTATAGAGAATTTCACAGGTTCGATTGATGGTAATACATTGAAATGACATCCATTTGCATATATATTTAAATCACTAATAGGATAATCACAAATAGAATCATGTGATATTCGTATATTAGATATATAATCTGGATTATCCAATGGAACATTATTGATACAATTGTCTGTTGAAGATGACTATGTATGTTAAATATAAAAGATTGATATAAAATAATAGTTTTACTTTCTACTTCTAGTTCGACTAAAAAAAGTGTTTTTAAATTCAATACTATCTATACTATTATTTTGTCTTTTATTACGTTTTATTTTTTGTTGGGATGATGAAGAACTTACCAATTGAAATAAATATAAATACATAAAGATGTACAGAAGAAACATTTTATATATCATTAGTTTTTCAATCGAGAAGAAAAAACAACAAAAATAAGCTTTATTCTTTTGTATTAGATTTCGAAATAAAGTCACTAATCTATTCCATATAGATCTGATTTTAAAGACAGAACTTAACAATTAATTGAAAACATATTTTAGTCAGAAGAAAAAAGAAAAAAATATCAATATCAAATATGATAAATGAAACTATGTTTTCAGTATTTAGGTATTTATTTCTTTTTCAAAATGAATTACAAAAAATGAGTGTGGTTGTGAATTCGTCTTTTATTTACCCACACCCTCATTCGTAAGATGGTTATTGAGGGCATTGAGTACATAATTCAAATAATCATTCACTACGAAGAATATTCATCTTGAGGTTGGGTGTGGGTGTGAGTATGTAGAAAATATAAAAAGCACATCCACACCCACACCCACACCATTCCTGATGATGTGTTCAGTTCAAACACGAAAGTTCGAATCCCCTTCTTTTATTTCTGTCTGAAATAATCTTAATTTAAAATGATCTTTGCAGCAGTTCTTTCTTTATTTTCCTATAAAGGATCTACTTCATGAATTCAATAAATTAATTACAAAAAACAAATTTAATGATGATAAAGAATTACAACTGATTAACGAGATTTATTCTAAACTCGGATTGAAATTTCATGAAATGGAAAATAAAATAAATTTATTATCAACGTCAAATAGTGAAATGTTAACAACAATCAAAAACTTAAAAGAATTAACTGAAGGAATTAAACTGAAAATGGATTTAAATGAATATTATAATTATTTTTTTGATATATCAAGTCTGTTTGCATTGTACAATATTGAACCAACATTAACAACGCACGTTAAATATAAACAATCATGTGATAAAACGAAGAGGGATCTTACCAGACACTCAATCTGGTTTTCGCGAAGGTTTCAGGCTGCAAACACGCGTGCTTCTGTTCTTTGAACATGTTTCGAGTCTGATGGCAAACAGTTCGTCGGTGGCAACTGTTTTTGTTGATTTCAAAGCAGCTTTCGACCAGCTTTGGTTCGAAGGCTGCATAGGTAAACTAAAGCAAATGGGAATTCCTAGAGCTTATCTGCGCTGGATTGACGTCTGGCTGCGCGATCGTAGAGCCTGTATCGAAATTAATGGCAAAAGGTCTCGATGGTTCAATATCTTGGAAGGCAGTCCGCAAGGTTCTATTCTGTTCCCTACGCTTTTCATCACATACTATGCCGACATGGGAGACTTTCTTGGCTGCTGCCTCAGCCACTTTTTTGCCGATGATCTTGCGGCAATTATTACCGGAAGCATCGGCATGAAGTATACGCTACAATGTCTAGATTTAGAAATAAAACTTCGATTATTTCTAGATAATTTAGAATACTATTCGGCGCTAACAATGCAACCTACCAACTATGCAAAAACGGAAGATATATGGTCTGCACGAGCGACTGGACCACTTAAATGTGAAATGAAAGCAGGTGATAAAATAATAGGGTGTGAGTGAGTGTGGGTGTGGGTGCGAGTATGTAGAAAATATAAAAAGCACACCCACACCATTCCTGATGATGTGTTCAGTCAGAACACGAAAGTTCGAATCCGCTTTTTTATTTCTGACTGAAATAACAATATTAGTAAAATGATCTTTGAAGCAGTTCTCTCTTTATTTTCCTATAAACAATCATACAATAACTGGCGAAAATTTAAAGAAAGAATTTCTGTTATTAAAAGAGAAATTACTGAACAAAAATCAGAACAAGATAATTTGGATCGTTTTATTCGTCCTGTACAAGATGAACTGGATAAAAATGGTATTGATTTGTTAAGGGTGGGTCTGGGTGGATGTGAGAGTCTATTATGAGAAAAGAGGCTAATCCACACCCATACCCCGCCACCAACTAGTGATTCAAGTAACATCGGAGCAAATATGACACCTTGAACAATCGCCATAGTTTTGTAGTCTCTACTAATTATGGACACGAGACAAAACTCCTATCGCTGCATGATATCACATATAATATGCGGTGCAAAAGTTTTTGAACAAAATGTCAAACTATTTTATACCATCTTGCCGACTTCTAAACCAATCAAGTTTGTTTTTTGTTGGAAAGAGCAGAGTCTGAACTACAAATTTTGTACAAGACACAATTCTCCAGAACGAATCTGAAAAGAAGAAAACGTCAAAAACTAAATACCTCCAAAAAACTCACAACTTTTTTCAACTTCAAAATTCTGTACTTCTCAATTATTTCGAGCTACATATATTGAACTTGAACAAAAAATACACGAAAATGTAGCGCATCAAAAACTCTATCGATATGAACTTTGGTAATTTCTTTGGATCCGTTCTTGACCCTTTAATCAAAAACATTTTAAACATGAAGTTTTTGTAAAATAGGGTTCTTTGCAAGAAAATCAGTCATCAGCTTCAGAAATTATGCATGAACTCAATGTTTATCGCGTTATTGTTTCGAAATATGTTCGCTTGTAGAAGTTTTGCAAAAAAAACATAATTCAAAAAAATGTTTTTTCATTGCAACATAGCCGCATGGTAAGAACGGCCAAGTTCTTTAATCTCTTCCAAAAAATGCTATATTTATAAAAAAAAGGAGTAAATTTAACTTCGAATATATCATTTGAAAGAGCACTCTTTATGCTACAAAAATTATTATTTAACGTATTTTCTCATTTCTCTTCTGATGAAAAAAACTAATAGAAAATAAAAAATGATGTCAGTCGATGATAAAGTTGCAAGGAGTTTTTTAGACGTATTTAGTTTTTGACTTTTTCTTCTTCTCAGATTCGTTCTGGAGAAATATGTCTGGTACAAAATTTGTAGTTCAGACTTTGCTCTGTTCAACAATAAAGACTTGATTGGTTTAGAAGTCGGCAAGGTGGTATAAAATAGTTTGACATTTTGTTCAAAGACTTTTACACCGCATGTTATTTATTGAATCAATAAAAAATCTTATAAACATTAAAAGCAAAAGCATTCTTGTTTATAGTTGCTACCGTCAGTAACGATTTTCATCAAAAAATAATTCTCGCTCCTATATATGTTTCGCATATTTTCCAAAGTTGTTTCTTAACATCATAATTGATGTAATTGTACTTCAGGTTGAGTGTGGTGAGTATCTGTGTGAAAAGTGTGTGAATAATGAAGTGAAGTGAAGAGAAAGAAGAACAAGTATTGTTGTTACTTTGTTGATTTGTAGAGCATTAGCAAGATCTTGTGCTCCTTGGTCACCGATTTTATTGCATCCGAGCTCCAGTGTGGTAAGTGTCTGTGTGGATAGTGTGTGAATGATGAAGTAAAGAGGGAAGAGGAGCGAGTATCGTTGTTACTTTGTTAATTTGTAGAGCATTGGCAAGATCTTGTGCTCCTTGATCGCCGATTTGATTGCTATAAAGGTTGAGCGTGGTGAGTGTCTGTGTGAAAGTGTGTGAATGATAAAGTGAACTGAAGACGAAGAAGAACAAGTATTATTATTACTTTGTTGATTTGCAGAGCATTAGCAAGATCTTGTGTTCCTTGATCACCGATATGATTGTAAAAAAGGTTCAGTGTGGTGAGTGTCTGTGTGAATGAATAAGTGAAGTGAAGAGGAAGAAGAACAAGTGTTGCTGTTACTTCGTTAATTTGTAGAGCCTTGGCAAGATAGTGTACTGCTTTATCATCGATTTTATTGTATTCAAGGTTCAGTGTGGTGAGTATCTGTGTGAAAAGTGTGTAAATGATGAAGTAAAGTGAGGTGAAATGAAGAGGGAGAAGAACAAGTATTGTTGTTACTTTGTTGATTTGTAGAGCATTAGCAAGATAGTGTGCTCCTTGGTCACCGATTTTATTGCAGTCGAGGGTGAGTGTGGTGAGTGTCTGTGTGTAAATGGTGAAGTGAAGTGAAGACGAAGAAGAATAAGTATTGCTGTTACATTGTTGATTTGTAGAGCATTGGCAAGATCTTGTGCTCCTTTAGCACCGATTTCATTGGATCCGAGCTCTAGTGTGGTGAGTGTCTAGATGAAAGAGTTCGTGTAAAGACATGACATAAATAAAAAGTGTATGAGAGTTACTGTGTTGTGTTGTAATACAGTACTCAAAGATTGTACTCCAACGTCTCCGATTTTTTTCCACAAGAGATCTAGCTTAGTGAGTGTCTAGATGAAAAAGTTAAGGTAAACATATAGTAAAGATAAAGAGACAAAATGGCTGGTGGATGTTACATGTAATTAGAACAGTGAAAGTATTGTTGTTTTGACGAATGTGTTTGGCGTATGAATACGAATATGAACTCATATACGACTTTTTATGCTGCACAGTACGCAATCAAGTTCTGTGAAAGTTTAGACTGAAAAAGAAGTTACTAAGGCTGAACTAGCGATAGAAAGTTTTTATATGTGTTACTTTAGTTTGTGAATGTTTAAGAAACAGGAAATACATTTCGGTTAATGAAACGTAGTTTCTAACGTACGTCTAGGGATAACAATTGCGAAGAATAGTATTATGTTCCCAAATGACTATGTATTGCAGTGAATGGTTTAGAGCGTAGTTAAGTATGGTGCAACGCTTGTTTGTATTCTGTAGGTATGACGAAAGATAGTTTCTTATGGGTAGTTAGTGCACAGTTTTCTTTACATTCATTATTCTGACCCCATATGTATTTTACATGAGAGCTCTATTTGAGTTATCGAACTTGGTCTTATTGATGTATATGATTTATATAAGTAATAATATGTGTTGATTTCGATACTTTTTTTTGATGCAACTATAAAGTTGTGTTCATGAAACTACATTGATTTATAAAAAGTGAAGAATAAGTCAAATAATTTATTCCATAATGTTAGACTCAGTATGGGAAGAAGGTGAATGCATGCTAAAACGTCATATACGAACATAGCGCTGACAAATTATTTTCCAAATTCCGTCTTTGACAAACCGTGCTTCAAATGAAATCCGCTCCGGTGCAGGATTTTTGATAAAAAAATTGCTTTAGAGATAATCTTCCTTGAAGAAATTATCCTTCTTGCTAATATGAGTTTGATTGTTGTTGTGAGTCAATTTTCTCTGGATCCGCAGCCACCAGCACCCTCAGTTGTCCATGCTCTTGAAGGAGCATTTGTCGGAGATGCCTCTCAAGGGAATATCGAAGAGATTATTTATAACAAGGCAAACTAGTTTCTCGAAGGTTAATTTTTGTCAAGATCTGATTTTTTATCATCGAAGTAGTATTTTAAAAAAAGGTGCTTACATACAGGTAAAACACAGAAAATAATATTTTTCTCATTTTTTCGTTCTTATCTAAACACTATGTTTATGACATCATACCTAGTTTAAAACGTGGAATATTTAGATGAAATTGAATAGAAAGAAAGAAAGAAAGAAACGAACTAGTTTTTCTAATTATGAGGACACTATTTTTCATATTGTCATAATATAAGAAGTGAGTTTTGAGGGAGAAAGAGGTAGCTGATGAATTATTTTGGTTGACAAATAGTGTATATACGTATATTTTATTGAAGTCATTCAACCTGCATAAAGATTGTAGGAATGAATAATAATTCGAGATTAAATGGATAAAATTTATGCGATCATGATAGAAAAAAGTTTACCTGATATCGATGATAACTGTCCACAATCGTATTGAGCCGTTGACATACATTTCTCATAGAGCATAGCATTGTGAAATCGGATTGGTGGTCAAGAATTCGGTAGACAAGTTCTACCGGTAATGTAAGAAAATTGCTGACTGCTTGATTTGCCATTGTAGATTGTTGAAGAAAGGTGTGCTCCGTAGCCTTATATGTTGATTATATATACTGTTCTCAATCTTATCAATAAATAAGTTGATATCTATTCTGTTTCATAGATTTCACATGATGTTGTAATTACTTGTCGGAAGAAAAAAAAACAAAAAAGAATGATATCAACTAGAAAATGACAGAATCGAGATAACAACTGTGAGCAACGTTTTTATTAAGATTGTTGTATCGATACAAAATGGTACATAATAGACATCTTGAGGGCGTGGATAAATAAAAGCTGAATCCACAGCCTGACCCCAACTCACGCTATTCTTTGATCTCTTGTTTTCCCCAAAAGACTTGATATCTTTCATTTCACTGAAAAAATAAATACATTAGTGTACGTACTCTTGATTTATATCATTTATTTGTACAAAATGCAATTCTTTACTTACACTTAGTTATATCGACACAACATAGATTATCAATTTGATTTTTGTTTTATTATCCATTAAAAATATATTAATAACAGAGGCTGATATTCATTTTCAAAGAAGAAAAGTAAGTTACAATACCTGCATATATACCTGTAATCATTTTTTTATTTTCAATATGACAGTATAGTTAAATGATTTACAAGACTTTAAATTAGTTTCTACTAAGCATTCTGTTGTTGGTATTTATATATAAACGTACAAGAATTTTATTCAATTAGTAGAGAAATAAATTAAAAAAAAACATATGAAATAATCTGACAAATTATTTTGTTCGTTCACAGATATGTCTAATAACATCATGAATAGTACCTGCCTGTGGCCATAAATCATCTAGAATCATTTCAGCTTGTTTTCTTTTGTTATTGATACGATTTCGAGTTTGTTCAATTCCTAATAAACTTATATAAGTCACTGTTTGATTTTGTTGATCAATATTTGTTAATTTTCCAAGTTCACTGGTATTTCCTTCGACATCAAGTAAATCATCTTTCATTTGAAAAAGAATTCCCATTAATTTACCAAGTTCACGAAGACGTTCTAATGTTATATTTAAAGAATCATCTTGTTGAACAAGTAAAACAGGACAAACAAGTACAATTTCAATAGCTTTACCAGTTTTTAATTCAGCAATATGATCAAGTTCATTAATAGTTAAGGATTTATTTGTTCTTGCTGCTTGTAAATCAAGAAATTGTCCATGACAAAGTTCATCCATTGATTGAGATAATTCTGCAGTAACTTTATTAATACTTTCATATGAAAAACCTTCTCGATAAAGATCAATAGTAACTAATCGAATTGCATGTGCAATTAAATCGACTGCAACTAATTGTGCTCGTCCTTCTGTTAATGATAATGGTATATCATTCTTATCACTTTCAATTGGTGTATGAAGCGTTGGTTGACCACGTCTTAATGGTGCATTATCTTGAGCTGGTAAATCATCAAATATTAAACTACTTGTATGAAGATATTCAATAGCTTTTGCAAGTGGTAATATACGTTCAATATTAATATTATAAATTTGTGCAACCATAAGGAGAAGTAGTGGTCGAAGACGTTTTCCACCAGCTTTTAAACTATGATTAATACCATAAATAATTGAATCATTAGTATTATTTATTAATGTTAATTGTTTTTCAATGAATGATAAATGATCATAAGCAAATGTTTCAACATTTCGATGATTTAATGAATAATGAATTGCAAATTTATTTACAAAACGAAATATAGATTTTTCTGGATCACTAACACGATCAAATAGTTTCTCTAATGATAGAGTATATTTATATAAATGTGGATATGAATTTGAAGTAAATATAATTAAAAATTCATTTAAATCTTTTTGTAATGATCGTAATGTTCTTATAATTCGTCGTCCTAAAAATGCACCAGTATCTTTTTCTCGATTACTTTGAACATATAAATCTTCACAAACAAATAAAAAAACAAAAAATGGATTTAATCTTGTTGAATCATTATGTTGAGCATAGTAAGTAACAGGTGTTAGAGATTTATCACGACGATCTTCATTAAAATCACGACAATCATCTGTTAATTGTCCTAAAAATGGCATTGTCCATAAACGTTGATAATTCTGTAGTATTTGTGTACCACCCATAAATGCAGTTGCTGTATAAGTAAAATGTGCTTTCATTAATGAACCAATATAAAGATCAATATCATTCTTATATAATTTTTCATAATCTTTTTTATCAGATCGTTGTGATCGAAGAAGTAAAGCAAGATCAGTAAATGTTTGTTCAGATATACAATTATTTGATGTTAATTGTACAAGACTATGAAATGTTTCAAGTAAAAGTGATGTTATAGGTAATTGAGGAAGTAATGTTGGATCAAGTTTAGCACCACATAGAATACGTTCCATTTCAATTAACCATTTATCTACATCAATATGTTGTTGTTGTTGTTCATTTTGAGTATCTTGTAATCCATCAACCAGAGCATAAGCAATACCATAATAGAAACCCATTTGTAATGCTTGAAAAAATTTTCTATTCAAATCTTCATATTCATTATTTTCAGCAAAACCATAAAGTCGAGCAATGCCAACACCAATTGTTGTTCGAATTAGACGACCAAATGCACCATATTTTGTTAAATTAATTGGAAATGTTTGTAAAGCTATTTTCCATTTTTCTAATAACCATGTCCATTGATCAATATAAATAATTGGTGAAAGTATATTTTCTGATGTTAAATCTGTATCAATTTCAGTAATAGAAGATAATATTATTTCTTGTGATTTATCTGATTTGATTGAATTTATAAGTAGTGAAATTGTATTGAGAAACATATGAATTAATGATGTAAATCGTTTAGATATTGAATCTTTTTTATTATTTTCATTGCTTAATGAACGCCCAAACCGTAGAAACTAAAAAGGAAAAGAAATGTAAATTTACAAAATTTTTGGTAGTTTTTTTGTATTCACCATAAAATCATCAGCGACATTTTTTAAACTCATAGAATAAGCATTTTTACTTTTAATAATAAAGAATGCTTTGAGAAGAAAATTTGTTGATAATGATGCTTTATTTAAATCATCTGTTTTTGGTCGTTTTATCATTTGTTCCATTCCAAGATTAATCATTTCTTGAAGTAAATTTAAATTTGGATATTGACGTGTTTTATAATTATCAAATTTTTCTTTTAAATAATCTCGACCAATTTGTTCGGCTTTATTATATTCAAAATCTAAATCAATTTTATCTTTATTTTTTAATGGAAGACGATCATCTTCTAATTTTTTCGGTGTTAAACTATCGACAATAGATTTTTTATAATTTAATAAAAGTTCTTTTTCATTATTATATACATTGGGAAATAATTCGTTTGCTCGTTTGATTTGTAATTGTTCCCATTGATTATTCGTAGTATTTGATGAAAATAAATCATCTGTTAAAAATAATTGTTTTAATTCATGTTGAGAATTAATTAATGAATGTAAATTTGGTAACTGTGAATTAATTCTTTCAAGTGTTTCATCAAGACATTGATAAATTTTCTCATCAGATACAGAATAGGGTTTAAATTGTTTAGATAAATATTTAACATCACGTTTTAAACGTCGACGTATATGAGATAATGATGTTAAATGAAATAGATTTGTAGATTTTTCTTGAACATATTCTTCTAATTTAGAAAAAACATATTCTTCAATTTGACGTCGTTGTTCATGATTTAAATCAATAATAGGTCGAGTATGACGATCAATATGTGGTAATAGACAGCATTGATGTTCGATTTCTGTTTGAGGAACAGGTTTATCTTGAATAAGAAAAAAAAGGGAAGTATGTGATGAAAATATGTAAGCAAAAAAACTTACGTTGAGTATGCATGAGACAAGAAAAAAAAATTTCTGATGTAGAGGACAAAACGTGTATTGCTCATTTAAGTTTGAAAGAAAGGAAGAAGAAAAAGATGTTTTTAATGCGTAGATTTAATGACGTTCGATTTCTTTTTTTTTTTGGAATATTGCTGAAGTATGTGAATAATATTTTATACTAGACTTTACATATATAAAAAAACATCAGACAAATATTTCTTGTATGATTATAATCAAAAATACAACTCTGAGTAATATAGAAAAGTGAAGTATGTACATAAAATAAAAAGGATTTATATAGCAGTGACGTCTTAGAATTTTTATAAGAGAAATGTCATGGACGATGTCGTCAGTTTTAATTGTTGATAATAATTCGATCAGCAATTTAGTTTGATTTAGAAAAGAACATGTGCATTCCATTAGTGAATAAAAACTAACATAATGAATTTTTTTTCATTGTCGATGAAAATTTTAGTTAAACTATACAAGTGAAATTCAATGTTATTAGTCATATTTTGTTGCCTTGGATGATATTGACTTACTGGTATTGATTTTGTTTTTGTACAGATATGAAAAGAAAATTCGAAATTTCAAGTGAATATTTTAATTAACTGGATCTTTGAATTATAAATAAACAATTTAAAAAAAAAGAAAATTAATTATTGTAATTATTTATTTACAAAATATGAATATTTAATAAAGATATATACATTAATTGATTTAATTAACACTTCATTGATACTCTTTTAATATTAAATACATACGTGATGAAGTATTCTTTTATAATAATATTTGATTATAATTGTTGATAATGAGAAAATCATTGTTTATTAATCAATTTATTAAGAATATATTATAATTGAAACAGCTATTTCCGATATGATAAAAACATCAGTTTAATCCTGAATATTTATAATAATCATAGAATTAATATAACGTGTTATTGTAATTTATCGAAATTATCATAACATCGACAATCAGACAAATACACTTCTTCACGATCATTATAACTTCAAATATATAATCTATATGATGAATACTTTCATTTCTTATACTGCGTATTTTATCTTATATGATAGAATCTAACTGTTATGGCGTTGTTGTTTTCCTTGCTACTTAATGTTTATACTGCTAAAATACCATCTAGAGTTATATTGTAAATAACAGATATATAGTTATTTATATTATATGGAATAGTAAGTTTTTAATCTCGCGGTTGTCTCTTTTTTAAGATAGTTAATCTCACATTCTATAATTATAGTTTATTCATGAAACTTTATATTTAACACTCGAATGGTAATTAAATATAGCAGAATTTCTTTGACAGCATGCATCCTCAATGATACTATTTGTAGTTCATTTCATGATTGACAAGGTTATCATGCTAATTATTTACGCGTAGTTTCTAGCTTTTCCATATAAGAACGACATTTTTTTGCTCGAAAATTTAATTTCGCATGCAAATAAATGAAAATTCTATCTATGGTAAATATAACTTTATTGTTCACATGAGAAATATTATTACTACAGCATCTATCATCATAATCTTCATTTAATAGTTTTTCGACAAAATCAACAAATCATTTTTTTTATTTTAATATCAGATTCATCATATTATCGAAGCATAGAAAGAATCTAAGTAATAAATCGTTATTCTTTTTTTCCACTTGCTACATTCTATAGGAATATAGTCCTTGAATATGGCCAAACTCAAGTATAGCGTTGTCAAAAACAGCGCTGATAGATTTTCTATATTATTATTATTATTATTCCTATGACTAAGACAGGTTTAGAGGACGATAGATAATGTATGTCGTTATTTTTTTTTCTCTGATATTCGCGCTAGTTTATTACACGATTGATTACATACATCTTTCATCTCTCTTGTGTTATATATGTGGGCAACTGCCAACTACGATTAGGCCACATGGCAACGCGTAACTACTCGTTTTTCATGATTATCGCATTACTTTCTTCTTTTCTTCACGCGAATGTGTTCATTAGAAGAAAAAAAAAGAAGAGAAATATAGAAAAAAAAATCGAAGAGTGGCACCATTAACAGTAGACGTTCAATCATTTGTCATCTGTATAGCTATTGTATCTAATGTGCTTGGTTGAGACATACATACATATACATACTATGTTCTTTCTTTTTTTCCGCATCCGTACATTTAACAGAGAAATTCTTCTCCATTGACGTAATCAAAAAGAGCAAAAAATGTAGTCTTCAACATAAAAATGTCAATGTTACGAACGTGTCTTTCTTCTACTATTCTAGTTTCTTCAATACACAAAGGGATAATTTTTATATTTCTCGTGCTATATATGACTCGAAAGCGGCTGGTTTTTTTAGGAGTATTTTCTTTTCCTTTTTTCAGTTACTTCAAAATGGTTATTAGAATTTTCTTCCACTTGTTCTTTTTTTCTTCTGCACTTATGAATTACTTATTCATTCTGTATAAAAGAAAATCTGATGTTCTTCATTTTTCTCTTCTTTTTATACAAACGCATATTTTATAAATTATATAAGCGATATAAATAATAACTTTACAAATTATTCGAACAATTTTTAAACGTTAATATTATGTTTGAGTTCTGTTCTTTTTTGAAGAAAAAAACATGTTTAACATTTAGATATTATTTTCTTTCTCGTTTGGTGCTTCTTAATTAACTAAAAAGCAATATCAAAAAGATTGAGTTTCACACGAACGTGTCTGTTTATAAAAAAGAATGGGAGCAACAGCATCAATACCCGATACGATTGATACTGATGAAATTACTGTGACTACAGGTAATGACGCAGATAAAAAAAAGAAGTTCATACTGTTCCGTTAAATGAGTTCAAATCTATTATTAACTATATTTTAATTTTTTTTATTTCAGGTCTTTCAAAACGACAAATAAGTTCTCTATGGACTCGTTTTTATGAACTCGATCGAGATGGTCGTGGTAATGGTCAAGGATATAAAGGATTTCTTGATGCCGATGATTTAAGACGTGTACCGAAATTTAGTGAAAATCCAATGGCATCACGATTAGTCAAAGTTATATTTGATGATTTTGGTTCTAATGGTCAACTAACATTTCGTCAATTTGTTAATTTTATGAGTACATTTGTTCAATGTGAACGTGGTCGTCATAATCAACGACGTCCTTCAGCATTTCAAGCAGTAATGTCAACGACAAAAACTGATCTTGAATCAATTAAATATTGTCCAGGTGATTCAGCAAAAATACGTAAAATGAAATTTATATTTCGTGTAAGATTAATTTTATGTAAGAAAATTTTTACTCAATTGAATTCTATTTTAGATGTATGATGTTGATCATGATGGACGCTTATCCAAAGAAGATGTACAAGAAATCTTAAAAATGATGGTAAATTAATTCATATGAAATATTCGATGTTTTCTAATAAATATTTTTTCGACGATAATAGGTTGGCAAAATTAGTGATGAAGAAGCATCACTTATAGCTGAAAAAGTTATTGGAGAATTTACGGAAAATCAACCTTTTTCAACAGTTACACTTGAAACGTTTGAAGAAACTCTCAAAACACTTGATTTTAACGATAAAATGAGTTTAAAACTATTAAAATAAATTAAGATTTATATCAAAAGAAATTTCTTGAATATCCCATCATTTCGAAGTTCTATAATAATCATATGTTGATTATTATAATTAATCAAAAGAAAACCTTTTGGCATGTTTTCTTTTTAATATAAAATGATTATAATTGTCATAGATTAAAAGTTTTAGGATATAATTAAGATCTAAATTAAGAAACATAAATGTCAAGATGAGTATTTTCAAGTATTATTGAACGTGCTTTTGCATACATGATTTGCTTCTAATTATAAATATATATATATATATATGAAGAGTTCCTACTTGAAAAATTATTTCTTCTGAATAGTAGTATTTGCTGTTTATTAATCATACATTTATCTTCTATTAATTAAACTTATTTGTTAGATATAAATTGTATTATTTACTAGTTTTTATCAGCTATCAGACACACCAGGGAAATAATGGATACATCAAAAAAAGTTACCTTTTTTTGACTCTTTTAACGATCTCAAATATAATATTCATAGTTCGAACTGAAGATATCTTATAAATTTTATTATTTTTAGAAGTACTTTTTATTTACACTATACATGTGTTCTTTTATTTATTTGCGATGAATATAAATATTCAAATTTTTTATTTTTAGCTGAAGAAGAATCCAAAAAAATGACGTTTCTAATAAAAGTAATCAGATTAATAATCAAAAAAAAACATAAAATAATATCATGTTGATGTTTGATAAATTGAAATGTATTAATCGGTTTTTTTGAAATCATTTCAAATATGAATATTTCTCAATTATTGAAGAATAAATCATCTCATCAGATGAGTAAAACTCTCTATTATGAAACATATCAATAATTATATATAAACTGATATAACGAAATGTCAATTTTCACACCACAATATATTCTATAAAAAATATAGAAAAAATTTTTTTTTCTTCAAAATAAAACAATTTCTTACACAAGTGCATAGATATGTTATTTTAATGCATTTGTTACATGTCCAATCAGAAGAGTCTTCTGGTGATGTAAGTAAGTTGTTGTTTTGTTTGTTAGACTATTTACATGCGTAAGGTAGTATGCATGCTACTAAGCAGTTCAACATCTAGTTACTGTTTGTGAAAAGAAGAAAAAATATTTCATTTATTTGCTACTTATATAAATTAAAAACTTCAATAATGTTCTTTATATTATTCAATCAATAAACAAAATCCTTGTATCTTATTCTTATCATTTGTAAGTATCATTTATTTAATACATGTATATATATACGATAATATTCGATTAATACGATTTGATCAATGGGTTTTCTTTTCTCATTTAACATATTTAAATATAAATTGATAATAAATTTTGTTTAAATATCAAATAAATTTATCTATATACTTGAGTTTTATTATTTCTTCGTCTCTCTCATCATCTTTAATGTTTCTTGTATATACTCTATCGCTGTTGTCTGTTTAGTTTCGTCCAAATATATATATATATATATATATATATATCGAATAAGTAAAAGCAAACGCTCGTAAGGCGATAAGAAGAAAAGAGAAGACTGCACATTGGTTGCATTTACTTTATTCTCTCGTCTTTCTTTTTCGGTTGTTGAATACAGAATTATTTGACAAAAAAATATATATATAGGAAGAGTCCTTTTTATTTTTCTCTCTCTCTGTCTCTTTCTCTTTTATTAAAAGAAGGAGATAGTAAAGAAGAAGAAAAACTTAATTTTAGTACAATAATAATAATAATAAACCAGTTGGATTTTATTGCTTTCGCAATTTTACCTTAATTAATAAACATCTATGCTTTATCTTGTAAAGAGAACACAATCACGTCAATATAATATTTTTTATTATGTTCTTTTTTTTTTATGTTGTCAAATCTTTTTCTTCCTACATCGTTCCTATCGTCCAATCAGCTTGCAACTTGATGTAGGTCAGGCATGCCTCAACACACAAACGCATGATGCCCGAGATTGTCATTAGTGTATATATGTGTAGACGATAGCTACCGCCGTTACTGGTATGCCGAGCTCGAACAAGAAGAAAAGGAAAAAAAACGAGTGTCGAACACCGAACCTTTTGATAGATCGGGAAAGGCATAGAAAAAAAAACGAAGAAAGAAAGAGAAAGAAAAAAAAATCTTCCTTCTTTCCCCGCATATGTAGCTAAAAGACGTCGTCGTACTCCTGGGGTAGGTTGTTGCTGCTGCTTTTTTCTTTTTTCATATATATATATATATATATCTTTTATTTGATAAATTTTTTTCGGATAAATAATGATTTATTCGAATAATATTTTTTAGTCTGACTGTTGTTTATGACAGTTCGTGTATGTTCGCATCGATTATCAATGCAGAGTGATGTCTTAAATGATCAACAACAACAACAACAATTATCTAACGATACAGATTGTTCATCTTCGTTATCAACAACACTTATTTACTCTGGTTTAAAATTGGTTTGTTATTTAATAAGAATTTATCTTATAGAAAAAGTTCATTTTATAAATTTATTTAGCATCCTAAACCATTTGTACCGACAATATCAATGTCCAGCATGACAAATCCAGTATCAATCGTTAAAAAATTATCCATTCGTATGTAGTTTATTTATTAATATGTAAGATTAAATAATAATGATGTTTTTTGTTTTGTTTTAGCTGATACACATCCAGACAATTCAACAAAACCTCTTGGATCAACTATACGACATTCATCAACATCTACAACTCCATCATCAATTCGTTTAGTAACACCAACAACAGGTAAATCATCACCACCAACAACAGCTTTACAACTTCAATTTCTTGATAAATCTTCAACAACCACTGCAAATGGAGGATATACAACATCAAAAACTTATATACTTAATCCACAACAAACAAGTTCTTCTGGAACATCATCATTAGTAACATTAATACCACCTGGAACAACATCACCTAAAATTCAAACATTAATATCATCAACAAATGATCTATCGAATAATAATAATAATGATCAAAAAAATTCTAAACAATCATCATTTATATCGAAAAATCGTTTAACATTTGTTCAACCATTAGTAACAAATGCATCATCAACATCATCATCATCATCAAATTCTGTAACGTCAAAATTAGTTATTCAACAAAATTCAACATCAAATATTTGGTCACAACAACCTACAACAAAAATTCGTAAATAATAATTTTTTTGTTTTTTTTGTCAAGAGATTTATTTATTTTTTTTGTATGTATAGTTTCAGCTAAAATGCTTTCACGTCCACTTCATATAATATCTTCAAATGAACATTCAAATTTATCATCACCAACATCAAATGAAAATCCAATTTTTACAACAAAAAATTTAGTTCAAATGTCAATATTACCATCAAGTTCAACAACAGATTCAATAAATTCTGTTCAATTAACCAATTTTTATTCGACACCATCATCAGTTCGAATATCAACAACACAACAACGTCCCATGGATCATAATAATAATCATTCATTAACAACACCAACTATACGTGAAATACAAACAGATGAAAAATTAAATGATTCAACTATTATTAAAAATAGTAAATTAATCGAACATATTTTTATTTATTTATTTATTTAATTAATTATTCTTTTAGTTCATTCGAATAAAAATTCCATTAAAAATCGTACACGTCTTCCTTTACAACCATCTACACAACAAATATCGTCTATATTACCAACGTCAAAGAAACATAAATTACCTGACGAGTAAGAATTTTCGAAATAAATTTTATTATTGACTCTTTTTTTGTTTTTGCAGTGACGAAGTATCTTTATCTGAACCACCAACTAAAAAAGTCCATTATGAACAGTTTGATTCATCATCGAATGGAAAAAAAATTCGTAAAACACGACATAAATCATTATCAAAAACTTCAATAGAGAATACAACACCAAATTCTCTGCCATCTTCTTCTTCACCATTAACATCATCGATCGGTGTTGATACAACTGGAATTATTGTATCAAAAAAACGTTCATCAGCAGAAATAGCTGCAGCAGCAATACTTTCAAGTAATCATATGAGAAAAAAACGTGTACAAAGAAAAAATTCAGATGAAACAGTATCAAATAATAATAACAATAATAATAATATTAAACAAGAAACAATATCAGTTAATGATTTATCAACTGAAATTATTAATGATGAATTATTAAAAAGATTATCACAAGGTAAAAATAAAACATTTTTTTTTTAAATCAAAAGAACCTTGAATATTTATTTATTTAGATTTTGTTTATGTTGATAAACGAACTGGTATTCGATGGATTGGTACAAAAGCACGTTCACAACCAATGAATACACTTTTATCACGTTTTTCATGGAAACCAAAAATAAGTCATTATGAAAAATATTCTGATATGATTCGAACGAGTATTATTTTCTATAAAAATTAAATAAATATTTAAAAGAAAATTGTTTTTTCTTTTAAATAGATCCAAAACGAACTGTACCTGTTAAAAGTCCTGATACAATACGAACAAAATTAACACAACCATGGGCATCATGGCGTATTGATCGACTAACAACATATCTTACTGATCTGGTAAAATTTCTTTTTTAGATCAAAATCAGAACAAATAATCTATTCTATTTTAGACACAATGTGAACAAACAACACAAAATAATTTGTCAGATATAAGTCAATTATTGAATCAACTTGATATAAATGATCATTCAGTTCGAAATACCATCGAAGATTTAATTGGAGTAAAAAGAAAATTTATTTATTTATTTTATTTAGTAATATCCTTGTCTTTTTTTTAAGGGTAATATTCAACGTCATCGTTATTTTTGTGAACAATTAACACAAATATCAACATTACTTGTTAATCTACTTGATCATGGAAATACATTACGAGAGATATGTTCTACGTCGAAATTAACACCGTCATCAATTTCAATAACAAATTCAACATCAACACGAAGAATTAAAGAACGATAGCGCATATTGTGTATTTTTTATCTAGAATAAGAAAATCTCATCGGGATATAATGCTTATGCAATAAGCTTATTTTTAATGCACCGGTGATCAATTTTTTTCTGTGTAGAAAATTATCTCCGTGGTTTGTATTTTGTAGGTCTGATAAAAATGAAAGAGAAAGAGTCAACACCATTCCGTGCTTCTTCTTCTTCTTGTTCTGTTCTTTTTTTTTCTTTTGATCTTTTCTTATGTTTTTATTTTCATCGAACAGTTCTTCTTCTTCGTTTTTTTTTCGTTTTCATTGTCCTTTATTTAACAGAAAACAACTTAATATGAATATTCTCTTTGCTTTGTTTTGTTTTCTTTTGCTTCGTTCATTGTAAATATTTATTATTTCTATTTTGACATTGAAAGTCAACATGTTCTTTTGTTGTTTGTTTGATTTCTTTTTGTGTGATGACATGATTGAACTTCTAATATATGTATGTGAGTATCTGTACGTTTCGTTTCTCTTTTATTTACTCGTTTTGTATGTCTTTCATACGGCGAACTATTATTTGTATGTGTGAAAGAGAAAGCAAAGAGAAAACAAACGCCGTTGAGCGTGTTTGTATATATATATATTAACGAAAACTTATCAAACAAAATTTCACTTCATATTTTTTTCGACTAATGAACATTGTTTCCTCATTATAAAAACATACTTCCGTATAATTGTATTGTATTTAATGAATTATATTGTATAGATAAAAATTACAAGATTTGATTTACTTATCGAACACAATTAGTTATTATTAAAATTAAACAAGTCAAAATTAGACAATTTTTGTCATTTTTCTCGTGTTCATTTATTATTGTATGAAGTATAAACAAACAGTTTTTGTTAACATGATATCTAATCTTTTACATAATAAGATAATTTTATCAGATTTATTCATTTTTTAATGTTATTATTAAAAAAAAAAGTGAAATGTTATATATTTAGTCGAATTTTTTCAGATAGTTAGATAGCTATCAACTTCAATATTTTAAATTAATACTTAATCGACAATCAATAGCTACATTTAAAAACTAATAAAATATAAATCAACCTTGAAATATTATAATCAAAGTACTTATTATATACTAATTATAATAACAATAATTCTCTATTTTTAATTGATTTACAGTATTGATGTTGATCTTAATCTGAGCAGTTGAAATAGGTCGAAAAAACATTTCTTGTTATTATAACGCAGTAAAGAGTCCATTGACCCTGTCAGTTCTAAGGAGAAGTAAAGTTGACATATTAAAAGGTCGTGTTCATCACTTTAAAATAAAGAGTAGAGTAAGACATAAAGTGAAGAAAAGAAAAAGTATAGGCGTTCAGGATATTCTACAAAGCATAAATACCTGTTACTATCTAATACTATGGCTGAACCTGTTGTGTCATGCTCACGTTCTAGTAAAAAATATCTATTGCTAGATGTAGCCAATATAAATCATTCCATTGACTGCATCTATGATATGACACTTGAACCTTGTAGATCTCTACACTCAATTGTAAATCATCTAAATTGTCAACATTGAATTTCTGCTATACCACAGTAACCTTCCAACCATGCTTTAATCCAACTAGCGGATACCAGAAGGATGCCTAATCGAATTAGTTTGCCTAGACAGCTTCCAAACCATAGTTGATCAAATGTGGATTTCAAGTGTGCAAATACCATTGTTGTCAGACAGCTATTCGCCATGTACAAAGAGATTTGCTTAATCAATAACAATACTTGTATCTGTAGGCGATGATCGACTTGAAAACTTGATTGATTTTCTAACAGGATTCCTTTAACACCTGGAAAAAAACAAAAGATTCTACTAAATCAATTTCACATTTTTTGCTATGATTATTGTAAATTATTAATTATATATTATTTCAAAAAATATTGTCTCAAGTCATTTTTATTATTATAATAATTCAATCTTTTACTTTTCATCATATACGAAGAAAAAATAAGAACAATAATATCAACTTACAGTTATCTATTAGCAGCAAATATGTGTTACATTTCACACTCATGTCCGTTTTTTATTTTAAGAGTGTTAAAATACAATTATTAATTAAATACAAGACTTAATCAATATAACTTTATCGAAAACTGATTTAAGCGTTTGATTTGAATGTTGTTTTATCGAAAATAAAAATATTAGTTAAATTTTTGCTTATAGATAACGATCAATTTTAATACGATACTATTATCTATTACTGATTTTGAATAAATAAATCATACTAAATAGCCGAGTCCATGATACAGATGCACGAACTAAGCTATTTTTCTTATTGTATGCTCACTATTTCAAGCTATGTTTTCAATAGTTATCAATATGTATTTTAAGTAAGAGAAAACTACAATTCTTTCTATCGAAAAACCTAAACGTCTTACTTTCGTGATCAACTTCCATTATGTTGTTTTATTGTACGAATAGAAACATTAGTGTCAGTATGAAGGTCGTGCATGAAAATATTTCATCGAAGTGTTATGACTCTTGAAAAATAGTTTAAGGTGCAGATATTGGGTCCTATCTAATATTCCATCTTTAACCACTTCTTTGGTCGTTATTTTTTGTAATAAGTAATTTGAATAATGCTAAATCTATGTAATGGATTCCTATTCTGATGCATGATAATATTAATGCAAAATACTATAGTGTAAGAAATATTATGAATATTTAATAGCATTCATTACTGTGTTGTTAAGATTTTCATATTTTTTAGAAAAAAGTGACATATCTTCAAACTGATATAAATAGCCGGAAGCATGATGAATATGAATACATAATAATAAAATCAATTTGATTGTATTGTTTCGCAGATGAGAACATTACATTGATTATTGTTTTTAACAGCGACATAGGAAACCATGAAAGAATACTAATGATCTTTCATTTATCAGCATAGAGATGATCTATTGGTTAATTTATCTCAATAAGATTGTAATTACTACTTAAATATATGCATAGAAATTCACTGAATTTTATAGTTGACAACGACAATTCAATATCGATTGTCTTTGACAAATGAAAAATTTTACTTTATGAAATAGGATGAGTTTGAAAGTATTTGAAGTAATTATGGAAAATAAAATGAGTTTTTTGTTTATTTGGACTGCGCTTATAGCTTTCGATACAGTGAACATATACATAGCAAAATGAGATAAACAAAACGTGTGATGTAATAAACGAGAATTAGGAATAAATTTTCAAGAAAGTTAAAAATGAACAAAAACGATTGTTTTATAAAAAAAAAAGCAATTTCAGATAACCAATAGAAATATTCCACTGTTCAGAATGGTAAAAAGAAAAAATACAGGAAGAAAAATCATGAAGTTGATGGATGTGTTGGTTGTTGTTGTTGTTGTTGTTGTTGTTGTTGAGTATTTAAATTAGTTTGTTTAACAATATTAAGTGCTTGAAGAATAGCTTGCGGATCTTTTCGTGCTTTAGCTGCACAATTTTCTAATGTTTCAGCTGCTTCATACTTTCCTTGACGTCGATATAATAAACTAAGATTTTTCAATGTTGTTGTTACAGTTGGTTGATCCGTTAAAATTGTTTTATACCAACCACCTTGTGCATCATAGTTTCCTCCTGTTGTTCCATTTTTTGATTGTTGAGATTTTTGAGTGTCTTGTTGTTGTTGTTGTGGTTGTTGCAACGATATAACTGCAGGTTTATTTAAATTTTCTTTTTCTTGTGCTCGTGTTAAAACATCTTTATAAATTTGTTCAGCTTCTTTATATTTTTGTTGTTTAAGATAGGCTGATGCAAGATTATTTTTTGTTTTAGCTACATTTGGATCATCAATACCTAATGTTTTTGTATAGATTTCAATAGCACGTCTATAATATGATTCAACTTCATCATATTTTCCTTGATTTTGACAAAGTAAGGCAAGATTATTAAGTTGTTTAGCAACATCAGGATGTATTGAACCGAGACATTTTTCACGAATATCAAGAGCACGTTTACATAAACCTTCAGCTTCTTTAAATTTATTTCTTTTACCTATAATTAAATAAAAAGATATTTAACTTATAAATTTCAATTTGAATCATACCATAAAGTACAGCTAGATTATTTAATGTAGCTGCTACAGCTGGATGATCAGGTCCAAGTGTTTTCTCTCGAATAGCTAATGCATCATTTAGTAAAGCACCTGCTTCTTTAAATTTTGATTGATCACGATAAACAAGTGCAAGAATATTTAACATTGTAGCAACATCAGGATCTAAATAATAATATAAAAGAAAAATTCTTATCTAAAAATTGAAAACATACGTTGATGACCAGATGTTTTTTCTAAATCTTCAAGTGCTTGTCTACATAATGGTACGGCAACTTCATATCGACCTTGAGAAGCATATTGAATAACTAAATTATGTAAAGTTTTTAATCGAGCTGGTATTTCATATCCAGTTGTAGAAAGAAATGAGCCTGTAGCTGATTGTGATGGTGACATTGTTAAATCAGCAAAAGAATCAAATCGTCGTGATTGATGTACTCCACCTGACATATCTTGTTGATCCATATAAATATCATCATCATTTGGAAATAAATCATTAACAAGATCTGTTGTTTGTCCAGAATTATTATTTGTTGATGATAAATCATTAGCTGACGATGAATTATTATCATTTGTATCATATTGTTTAACATCTTTTAGAAATTTTAAATGTTCAAGTTCAACAGAATATGAAGCATTGGATTGTTCACATTCATGTAATTTCTTTTGTGTTGATGCTAATTCATCTCTTAACCAACCATTTTCTTGACATAAACGTTTAACTTGTGTACGTAATTTTTGTTTTTCAGCTTCGAGATTTTGAAGATGATTACCTAATTGCATCATTACTTGAGCTTCACCAATACCTTTAACAAAAAAAAAAACAAGAAAATTTTATTTTATTTCAAATAAATTTTTACCTAATTCAATCATATCCATAGATTTTCTTAGTAAACCAGCTTTTTCTTCAAGTTTACTGTTATCTATTTGAGAAGAATTCGTCGTTATTGTATCAACAACACTTTCAAGCATTTTTCCATGTTCATTTTTTAATGCATCAAGTCCTTGTATAACAGATTTTGTTGATTGAAGAATATCGTCTTGACTCATATTCATCAAATAGATAGGATAGGAATGAATTTTATTTACATGTAATTCTAAAAGAAAATAGAAAAATAATCATGAAGGTTATATTTTTTTCAAAGTTTTATTTACACATACACAAAATATCCGTGATCTTTCTTTTTTTGCTTCTACTCTCGAGACTATTTACCTTATTGAAACGTGAATGGGGACTCAACTAGGTAAGAACAAAAAAAAGCACAATAACAGAAAAATCAAGGGAATATTGTTATACTATAATTCCAAAATATTATAGAAACAGTTACTAAATTCATTGTTCATCAACTGTGAAATGAGAATATAATTAGATTATCTAAGATAATCTATCTTTAAATAATATATAACTGAAACTATTTTAGGATTTTTTTCTTTATTTTAATCAATCATAACATTGATTGATTGAACATAACATATATTTCTATTAACGAAATAAAATTATGCTTTTTTTTAAATAGATTTTCTATGGTATCTATTTGTTAAACATAGAACTGTAAATTCATATGTAAGAAGTATTTGAGTAAAAGAATGAAAAAGTAAATATAGAAATGGTTAATGAATCATACAATAAAAATGTTTACTTGACAATCGAAAAAACACATACGCTCCCACAGCTGCATGCATATCAAGAGAATTTTCTCAATGGTTGATTATTGAAACCAATATAAATATATTCTATGAATTATCTGGAGAATACATCTTATTTTTATATTTGATTTATAATAATTATTCTGTTTATTACAGATTCATTATGTTTATTGCAAATTAGAGACGACTATATCAATAGATGGCGTCAGCGATATATATATATATATATGTGTGGGAACACTTACAAAATTCTTATATGTCAATTATTTAAAAAGCATCAGAATATTAGATGTCTTAAAAAAATTACATGTGACAGGATTCTCTTACAATTAATTATCAGACAGAGATTGCACTGAAAAAAATCTACGTGTTAATATATTATATTAGTGTGAATTAAGTTATTTTTACATGTCTATATGACTTACGATCATATATTTATTGTAAATGATATTATTTTATATAATATTTGGATAAAGTTGTCAAAATATGATTAGTTAAAATAATTTGTCTTCATATACGTCATAGTTTTTAGGATAGATAAATACTAACTGAACATGTATTTATTTTTAATTGATATTCTTTGCGACATTAAAACCTATGGCATTACGCGATCAAAGCACTATGACAGATCAAACGAAATCCATGCCTTCCCGTTTTTGTGGTGTATCACTACAAGCATTATTAACTCTTATTGGTTCATTTATTCTTCCGCTTATGTTAGGTGTATTTACTGTTATCATCACTCTTCATCAACAACATGTCGGTGTACAGCAACGTATGGAAGATCGTAAAATTGCACGTGAACTACGTGAACAAGATTTAAATATATCACGTGAACAACGTCTACATGATCTTAACATGCTTGGACTTCAACGAGAACAAGATTTGAATATTTCTCGTGAACAACGTACACAAGATAAAGAAATTGCGGAAGAACGACTTCGTGATGCTGTTCTAGTTGCTTACTTGAATGATATTGCTAATTTATTAAAGGATAATGATGGTATACTAACTCGTAATCCAACAGTAGCTATAATTGCAAGAGCTAAAACATTAACTGCTATTCGACAACTCGATAGTTCTCGAAATAGTTATCTTATACAATTTCTTTATGAAGCTAAGCAATTGTTTAGTGATGCTAATCCACTTGATTTATCTAATGCTGAATTAAATGCTGTCGATTTCAATATAAATAAAAATGTTCATCAAAATTTTCGCAAACTTTCATTAGCTGGTGTACTCTTACGGAATAGTTCATTTTATTTTTCGGATCTCTCATATGCAAATTTTAGTAAAGCAGATCTTACTGGTGCTAAATTCGAAAAAACTATACTTAATAATGCTGATATGTCAAATAGTACGATTGTACGAGCCGATTTCAGTGGCAGTCAACTTTCAAAAAGCAATTTTACTTATACGCAGTCACGTCTTTCTATATTTACTAACGCACATGCATTATATGCCAATTTCACTCAAAGTAATATGGAAGCCGTTGATTTCTCTAGATGTAATTGTAGAGATGTTGATTTTACAGAAGCAACTATGGTAAGAGGCATTTTCCATACAGCTCACTTAGATCGAAGTCGTTTTATTGCTTCAATAGTTCCGCGAGCGAATTTTTATAATGCTCGTCTTATTGGTAGTAATTTATCAAATGCACGCTTACAATCAACCAATTTTTCGAAGAGTATTTGTGATGGTGCAATATTTAGTAAAGTAGATTTGATAAATGCTAGTTTTCTTCAAGCGAAAATAAAAGATCTTGATTTGTCAAATCTTAACCTACAAAATATAGATTTCAGTGGTGCCGATTTAACATTTACTACGTTATCTCGTAGTACATTGGATAATGTAAAATTCAATGGAACTATCACATTTTTAACTAATTTCTCATTTACTACGATGAAAAAAGCATTTATATCAGACGAACAATTATCCAATGCATTAACTATTCAAGGAGCAAAACTTCCTAATGGAACAGTATTTCAACATGATCCAAATCTATTATCCAATGGTTATGCTAATTGTAGTCATCAATTATTGAATAGCAATTGGAAAGTATTTCCATTAGGTGCTATTATTATTTCACCGAAAAATATCTCTTCACATGAATGCATATTTATGAATCAGATGAATAGTTCTAGTTCTATGTCTCAAAATGTTACTTTGATCAAACATAAAACATTAACATTAGCGAGACGTGCTATATTGATTGTAACGGTACATAGTGGTGTTGGGAAAATATCTTCAATTCGTTTAGATGATCATGCTAATAAATTAATTTCTATGCGTAATTTTACAAAAGGTAATATGAAATGTATATCTAATACATATATATGTAATCTAATATTTTTTTCCAGAATCTGATATATTCACATTACAAGGACAATCCGTCACTTTTCAACCAAAAGTGACAGTGGAATTTTTTGGTTATGGATGGTGTCATAGTATAGAATTAACTGTAGCAATGACTCCGCGGATTCCTTGATATTCCAGTACCACAGAACTCATTATTATTTTCTGATTTATTTTAAATAAATTTCAATACATACCTATTGCAAGGATTTTCAGGAAAGTAATATTAGATTATTCTTACTAAAAGTATTAGGATATAATATTACAAAACTCGTATTTTTTCATAATTGCAAGTTTCTACATTTCAACATATTTTCCTTAGCAATTAGAATAATCATGGTGACAAATTATTTTGTATTGTTGTTATTTCGCTTTTCACATAATCCCTAACTATATTAAATCTTAAGTAATATTATTTATAAAGATATCATTTTGAAAAAAACCCATAAATTAAGTATATTTTCATTATACGTCAACTGAATCCGATTAATATACACGCAACAGATAATATAAGTACATATATGTATATATATATATAAATAAAGAATTGTTATGTCTTTCTTTGCTTTTCAACAAACAGATTCTCGATAAGATGATTGTTTATTGATATCTGTTTCTGATGGTCCTTCAACGGGTTTTCCTCCTATTGATGTTGTTGTTGTAGATAATGCAGTATTTGATAGATGTGTACTCAGTGTAATAGGATTAGCAAATGTTGAACGACGTCGCATAACATAAGCTGATGTATCAATTAGTCCTGTTGATTCACCATCATGATTAGCAGCAGGCGTATGACTAGAATTAGTAGTAAATCGTTGAACATCACGTATAACAATATTATTTCCATGTAGTTTTAATTTTTCTATTAATTCATTAACACGTGCTTCACGTTCAGCAATTAATGTTTTAAGTTGTTCATTTTCTGCAACTAATTTTCGATGTTTTTCTTCATCTTCACTACTTAATTGTTGTGTGGTAGGATTTGAACCATGACCACCACCAATTGAATTTGATTTTGCATGATCTTTACTCGTAACCGATGAAATTGTCTGATCACGACCACGTATAATACATAATATTTTTGGTAAAAATATAAGTCCAAATGAAACAAAACAACAAAGTATAATAGCAATAGATGCAAAAGCAAAATCAGCATCTTGATTACGTTCAATAATAAGTGTTAATGAAGCCGAAATTAAACAAACAATCTAAAAATTATTATCAATAATAACAACAACAAAAATTAAATAAATAATTAACTTACGAATATATTATAAGTACACATACGAACTAAATGTGCATCATTAATCATTTCAAGTTTACTTGCACGAGTTTCATAACTTAAATAAATTCCAATAACAATTAATATACCTTTGATAGAATATAAAAGTCCAATCCATATCATATGTTGTTTAGAACGACATTGCTGAAATTGATAAACAGTTTGAACATCATTTTTTATTGGACCATCACCTGTTTGTTCAGAAGTAAAAACTAATGGATCTTTTATATGCCAAATAACAAATACAATTAAATCAATAAGAAGTAAACTTCCAACAATAATTAATAATTCTAATTTTGACCAAAGTTCATTCTAAAATATATATATATACATAGGATTATTATAAATATTTAATTTAAATACAAACTATTGCTTTTTTCGTTGATAAAAGATATGTTCGTAAAAGTTTAGCTAATAAACCACCATAACATATAGAAAAACCAGCAGCTAATAATGAACCTTTCAACTAAAACAAAAAGAGTAATAGAATAAAATAAATCTCTTTCAAATAATTATTTCTAACTTGACAAAGTTTAACAAAACGTGCTGGATTATCGGTTTGACTATCAGCTCCAAGTAAAAATACATCAGCTAAACAAATAATACCACCAACTAAAGCACAATTATTATACATTGGTTTTGATTGCCAAATAAATCTAAATAATCAATAAAAAAAATCTTCTTTTTTCAAATATATGTATATTAATTTTACTTTCGTTTTTGATAAATAATATTTAATATAAGACAAACAATAGAAAAAAGTAAACCCAGTGCTGCAAAAAAACTCATTGTTAAATATAATGGCCGAGAAATTTCTTGCACTTGATGCGATTTTTGTAGTTGATCAAATGGTGCTGAACGACGTTTTTCATTACCTTAATTGACAACGAATAATAAGATTAAAATGATAAATTAATGTTTCTTTTTATGACAATTACTTGATGAATAATTATATTTATAATTCCAACAACGACTACCATCGGATTCTTCGCCGCCTAACCATTCTATTGAACCTCTTTCAGCATCAAATCGAGCTAAACGATGATAAACACCATCTAATAAAATAATAAATAAAGACATTAATTGAATAAATTAGAAAAAAATAATATATATAATAATAAAATTTACTTCGAAGTTGTTCAACAACAACTTTTGACATTCGATTACCGAATTCATCAAATTTAACAGCACCCGATACACCAAAAAAGTCTGTTTGTTTCATATCATCCATCCTTTTCAAAGAGAAAAATAATTATAAAAATTCATTTCCTATCCTATAGGACATACATAAGATTTTTCATATCAACATTTCCATAAGTCCATTCTTCTAAATTTGTTCTTTCTAATGAACGATTAAGTGCTAATGCTAATGCCCATGTTGCATCATAAGCAAGAGGTGCTTCAACATAACCACCAACAGATTCAACTGGTTTTGATGGAAATAATTGTTTTAATGTTGTATTAAGATCAGTTATAAATTCTTGAGCTGTTAAACCTGATACGGTTCTTCTTGTTGCATCAGTTAACATTTGAATTTCTGTTGTAAAATGTCCTTCAACTGCTCGAGACATTTCTTCAGGTGTACATTCAACATCATGTGCTTTAAGAAACCAATTATCAGCATACCTTAAACAATTACATACAGATTTATTTTTTTGTATAAATAAACACAAAATAACACTTACCAACCAATTAACCACCATACATAACTTTCTCCAAAATAATTTTGTTGATAAGCCTTAAAGAAATTTACAAAAATAATTTAGCCATTTTTGTTTTTCTTTAATTAATAATTTAACAATACATACTTTACAGAAAACTTTTCGGGCTTTTTCCTCATAAAATAATCCAACAATAATACGAATATCATCTTTTTTTAGATTACTAATGGCATGTGAAGGATCATTATCGAATAATTGTCGTACGGCAATCTTCAGAATTAAAAACAAAATACAATGGATTATCTTCATATAATTACAATCTTTTTCTTTTTGCTTACATGAACGTTATGTTTACGTGCTAGAGTTTCTAAATGTTCAGCTGTTGATTGCCAAACTTCTTCGGTTTGTATTAATATAGCAATTCGTTTCCAACCAAATAAATCAAAAAATTTTATACGTGTTGGATTATGTAATGTAGCTGGTGGATGTGTACGAAAAAATGTACGAAAACGAGCACGATTGGATAATGCTGGTGAACTTGATCCATATGAAAGTACAATTAAATTCCACATTTTAGCAGCTTCACCTACAGCTGTTGAAACAGGACTACATGCTGGTCCAAGTAACATTAATATTGAACTATTTACACTACCAAATGTTTTATTATAGAGTAATTCATATAAAATTGTTGTACCCAAACCGGGTGAACACTAAAACGGAAATAAGAAGAAATTATTTATAGAACTAAAAAGTATTATTAATTATTTACTCTCGTATCATAAGCAGATAAATTTAAATAATAACCGGGTAAAATATCTTCACGTTGATTTATTTGATCTAATGCTTTAATAGCTGCAGGAAACGCAGCTTCACCACCAGCCCATTCGCCAGTCTGGGGAAACATTCCTTAGAGAAAAAAAATATATATAAATAGCATATTAGTATATATATATTCTATTGAAATAAAAACTGTTTATATATACTTACCACCAATCCATAAAGTTTTGTCTTTTTTACTAGATATTGGGGGTGCGATATCAATTCGAAGTTGATGTGCAACAGTAATAGAATGTATAAATACAACAAGATATCCATAGCATATACAAAGAAAAAGTAATAAGCTATGATTATTACTAAGATGTGAATATTCCAATAACATAGCTGTGTTATTTTTGTCACTGAAGTATCTGTTTTTTTTTATAATGAAAAAAAAAAGAAGGACAAAGTAATATAGAAGATATAATTTTCTTTTAGTTCGTACCTTTTTTATTGATTTTGTCTTTAAAGACAACCTTTATCATATCCCGACCCACTATTGCTGATTGTTAACAGTGCGTTCAGTTCTCATACATCCGCTCGTCTTCTTCTTCTTTTCATTCTACTTTCTTTTTTTTTCGGCTCACTGCCGTCAATGTCGTTGTCGCTACGATGTATTACGCTCGGCATGCGATCTATCTATCCTCACTCCTAACAGTAGTAGAGAAAAGAGGAAACCGAAGAAGAGAAAATTGCATTTTCCGACTAGTTCTTTCTCTTTAGATATGTGTTTATGTATGTGTGTGTGCGTGTGTGTCTGTTGTATGTTATGTGTATGTGCATGCTTAAAACCAAATCGAAGCGAAGCTTATAAAAACAACAAGAAAGACGGAAGAAAACTCGATCCGACAAAAAAAAAAGGAGAAAAAAAAAGAAGAGCAAACAACGGCTAACATAGAAAATGTGAAAATGAGGAATGTTGTGGGTTGCCAAAACAGGCACCCATATATATCTCTATTTATGTTGAAGCAAAGCGTAAATAACACGAAAGATTCTATTATATATAGATCAACTAAACCGATTCATTAGTTTTAAATATATATTCACTAGATGATTCTTTTTACGCGCCAATAAATCTTGAACATAATCGTATAGTTTCGTTTTGAGGTCAACTCATTCTTTAATTAAAACATGGCCTTGAGAGAAGTTCAAACTGCACTCGATCAAGTACAAATACTCGAACATGTCATAGGTTATATATGTATGACATCGAATGGTATGCATGTTTCATAAGAAATTCTTTTTTTGTTGTTGTTAACATTATTATTTAAATAATGAAGGTGTTCCTATTCGAACAACATTTGATGATGAATATACAAAAAATTTAGTCGCACAATTACAACCATTTCTTGAACGTATTAAACGAACAATTAATCATATTGGTTTCAAGGAAGTTATTGAATTACGTTTAAAAACAAATAAATTTGAATATCTTTTACGAACTGATAATTTATGTACTTTCATTGTTGTTCAACGATATGAAAAAATTCCGAATGAAATTGATGAATAAGAAAACCTAATTATCTGACTGAGTTTTTATAGAAAAAAAAAAGAAAAAAAATAGTCATATATATGTTCTCGATAATCAGTTTTATGTTGAAACAGCTGGTTTACCATTAAATCGATCACGAATACGTGTTTGTCGTGTATACATTTCATCACGTAAAACCATCATGCTAAAAATAGATATTTAATGAAAAACAAAACAAAACAAAGTTAGATTTTAATTTACCTTCGATGAAGTATATCATATTTCGTTTCCCACATTTGAATTTCGTGTTTATGTTTTTCAGTAAATCTAAAAAAACTGTATTCTATTTTTTAAATTCTAATTAATTTTATTACCGTTTCATTTCATTTCTATGACGTTCTTCAGTTACTGTAGGTTTATCAACTTTATTATTTCGAAGTGCTTTTGATTGATTATTCATCTAAAGATAATATAAAACGGAATAATTATTCTTGTCGAAGAGATTTATTATATACTTCTAGCATTAATTGTTGTATTTGAGCATCTTTTTGATCGAGCATTGCTTCATATCGATTTTCGATTGCTTCGATATTTGCTTTTGTTTGTTGTTCAGTTTCGAGTGTTATCACTGTTGGTTTCTTCATTACTAAGACTTCTTTTTGAGGAACTTCTGGTTTAGGTGGCGGTGGTGGTGGTGCTGCTGGTGGTGTCCATGGATCAGTTTGTGTTAAACGTGTTTGTGTTATTACAACTGGTGGAGGTTCCGGTTCACGTACTACAACTTTTTTTGCTTCTTTCATTTTAAGTTGAAGAGTAGATAAATCAGACTCTGTGAAGAGAGAAAAGAAACAGTATAATTAAAAATAATTGTTTTTTTTGTACGTTCTATTTACTAAGATCTCGTATTTGTTCATCTTTTTTCGTTAATGTTTCTTCGAATTGACTTATTATACGATTAGCAATAGATAATTCTTTATTTAAACGAGTTTTTTCATCATTAAGAAAAGCTGTAGCTAATTTAATTTCATGCTAAAATATAAAAATAAAAGTAATCATAAGATTTAAAATTCCAAAAAAATAAAAGAAATTGTTCTAACTTGTGATGTTTCTTGTAGTTGTTCAATTTCTTTTTTTAAATTATTTATTTCATTTTCATAACCTTTAATTGCTGCTTGATTAAAAAGTGTTTTTTCTAAATTATCATGTGCTGCTCGTTGTTTTTGAGAAGCTGATTCCGATGATGCAGATTTATCAATCTATATCATATATACATATAGTTCAAATTTTTTTCTCAATAAAATTACATTAATAATATTTTTTGCTTGTGAAATAAAATCTTGTAATTGACTACGATATGAAAGTCGTAATACTTCAAGTGCCTAATAAATTTAAATTTACAAAAAAAAATCTTTTTTAATGAATAAAATTCATACTTTCGTATGATTTTTTCTCATTTCATCAAGTCTATCAATTAATTGATAATACCTTAAGAAATATAGAAAAATGAAAATTCATTAGAATATTAAATATAACTCTCACATTGTTTTTGCATTTGCTTGTGATTCATCGTAGAATGATGAACGTAAACTATCACGAGTGAAAGTTAATTCATTTTTAACTAATTCAATTTCCTAATTTAATCAAAATATATTTGTATTAGTTAGGAGAAAAAAACAAAAATCTTTATACATGATGAACATTTTTTAATAATTTAGTTGTACTTTTCAGTTGAATGATTTCATCTCGGTCTGTTTGACAAGCACAATCCATACAATAGAGACCAACATGAAGTTTTTCCGATATTGAAGGTGTCGTACTAAGTAAATGTATATATTTTTTACGAAATATTCCTATAGATAGAATATTACCTCATCATTTTCTTTTTGAAACAATCAATCTGTTTATTCTAATCAATGTTGTTTGTATGTATGTATAAATTTTTGCCATTTTTACTTGAGTTTCCGAGGCAACTCAGTAACAAAACAGTTTCATTTTTCATATAGACACTAACGACATCTGATTGAATTCATTTTATTCAATGTACAGTCTTTCATAATACAATAAGAGCGACTCTTTTCTTTTCTTTTTATTATCCAAATCATAATTGAAATAACTATTTTTTGTATAATATTGTATTTAATCAATTGTTTTCCTTTTTTGTATGATTAATAAATTCTATATACATATACATCTCTGCTTACCATATGGAAATGAGAAAAAAAACCATTTCGTGACACAACAAGTGGTCTCGCTATTATACCAGATGGCCAACGAAGAAATAAAAAGCAAATAGCATAGCATTTCTACTCAAAATAATAACTGTTGTTCTTCTCGTTGACGAGATGTGCATACACATCAAAAAGAAACTTAGTGAAAAATAAAAATTAAAAAAGAGGTGCATTTATGTCGTTGTCGATTACCATCTGTTATCTCGTCTAATCGATCAGCTCAGTTTGACTACTGACTGACCTAGTTCCGCCTTCATTTTTATAATGTTCTCTTGAGAGATACAAACATACATCACTCTGTTTTTTTCACGTCACAAATGAAACAAAAACGAAGTAAACGAGAGCTATATATTATCGAGGGATTCATCATTGTAAATTCTATTGAATACAGGTGATCGATGAGAATAGATCTCAGTCGCCTTTTTTTCTTCTCTCCATCTGGTTATAAATGCATATGTAGACAAATGAAAAAGAAAAATGTTATTTCTGCTTTTTTTTCTCATTGCTTCGAGCTATTCACCGACAAAAAATGATTGGCATAATCTTTTGATTCATTTTCAATCTAACACCGAATGTCAACAAAAAACCAGTAACTATAAACCTTATGTGTCTTATCTCAAATAAAAACACCAAAGAAAATACGAAAAAAAACGTAAAGGAGGGTAATCAATATGGTCGAACAATTATCATAAACATAGTTGTATGTTTTTTATTCAAGTGTCATCTGAGAATACTCTCACCAAACGGACAATGTCATTCATATACACATATATATGCATAGCGCGACAATAGTTACTGGATCGCGGCTCGTGACGTGACGAACATAAAATGAATGAATGAACGAATCTGAGGGCGTGTTTCACTCGCTATTTGCACTCATCATCGCGACAGACAAGAAGCAGAAATAAGATCACAAGTATAAGCAAATCATTTGACAAAAGAAAAGAAAACTCCATCTGGTCTTTTTCTCAGTTGAATATAACTGTTATAGACTAGTTTACTTCGAGCAAACACATCATCAGTCGTAAAATACACATACACGTTTTTTTCCGATCTGATGCGTAACAATTTATTAAAAATTGATTCTCTTTCACTCTCTGTCTCTTTCTTCTCTTTTTTTCGCATACACGTCGGTACGTATGTTTGTGGTTGCCTTCGGGGCAAATACACAAGGACTGTATGTACATGAATTAATGAGAAACGGAAATCTAACTATTTAACAAGTATCTTAAAGAAGAAAAAAAACTAGATCAAAGAAATCGAAGACAATCTATAAGATGAAATTTCATTTGCTCAATTCTAATTATTTATACAATTATCTCATTTTTTTGTCTTTATAAATCTTTTACATAAACTATTCTTAAAAAGAAGATCTTATTATTTAAAATTAAATAAATTTTATTCTTATAATAAAAAGCTTCTAAATTAATTATTTGATAAAGATAAATTCTATTCATTTTTTTTATTCTAAATTTCTTAAGTGTATGTATTATCTCAATAGAAGCATCAATTATTTTTGAATAAAAATTAATGATTGAAAAAAAGAAAAAAGTTCTACTATCTTTTTTCTTTCTTTTTTATATTCATCTGCTCTTTACTTAACATATATAGTAGAAGAAGAAAAAAGAAGAAGAATGGAATATAATGTGAATAGTTGATGATGGTGGACCGTTCATTTGTTCAAATGAGCTTTTACAAGTATTAACTTATTTATATCATTTTTACTTCTATCACCTATTTCATTGCATGACAATAAAAGAGAAGAAGAAGAAGAAGAATTAGAGTTCAATTGAATTAAAGCAAGGGAGAGGCACAAAAAAAAGAAGAAGAGATAATACTTGTATAGAACTGATCGTCGCCTTGCGTGTCGCTTGCGCTTGGGGAAATCTTCTCTCTTTACTCAGTTAAAGATGACAGACAGATGTTGTAACACTTCTACAGTCAAACAATATTCATTGGTTAATGAAAACAATAAACGACCAATAAATGAATTTCTTTCCTCCTTTTTTTTTCTACAGGTAAATTTTCTTTCCGCTTTTTTCCCTTCTCTTGTCTAATCGAAGAAAAAGGTCTGTCTCTCATTTTTTATTTATCACTAATCACCACGGAACATACGCAGCAGTAGAGAAGAGAAAAAAACCGAGAGAGAGGAAAAATCTCCTGCCAGCAACTTACACCTTTTTTTTCCTACCATCACGACCAACAGAAAGTAGTAACAAGAATAACTCACGTTCTGGCCAGTCATATTGATTAAATACATTTCTCTTTTCTCTTTATGTGAGTGAATGAATGAAGGAATGAATATTGATAAATTATTATGATCGAATGCATTTCTTTTTTTTAACTATGTATGTATTTATTTATTATTTAGAGCACACACACACACACACATCAGCATATAATCATTCAAGTGAACCAAAAAATAAAAAGAATTATATCAATTCATTGTTAATAATAATGATAGGTTAAATAGAGAGTAAATTATTGATTAATTCTAATAAATATAAAAAGAAAAACGAAAACATAATGCTTACAAGTGCATCACCTGTTGAGCAATCATCATCAATAATACCAACAAGTAAATTATCATTTCCTAATACATCAACATCATTTACATCATCACAAGCAACAACAAGTACAAATTCTAATTTAAATGGAATTGGAACAAATACAGGACGACATTCGCCAAGTAATTTTTATCGTGCTGCTGCCGTAGCTGCTGCTAATAGTGAATCCAATAATCGACGATATATGCCAGGCACACCGGTACGTAAAAAAAAGGAAAAAGAAGAAGTTAGAAATTGGATTTTATCTCATCTTTCGTCTATACGTGTCTAGGATGCATCAAGGTGTTGATCATCTATTTTCTTATTCTTTTGTAATATGAATCGAGTTGAATAGATTCTTTTTTCTCTTGTTGCGCTCTATCGTTCTTTTCTACTTGATGAATATAGACACGATTATATAATATCAGACAGCTGATCCAATCAGGTTTTCATAATTGAATCTTCTTTTTTTTTCTCTACTAATTTTGTGAATTTATTCTAGTGGTCAAAATCAAATTGTTTTGGTGATAGTTTCAAATTTGAACCTAATGTAAGTATTAGAGGAAAAATAAATGTACGAAATAAAATTCGAATTATTCTTTTCTTTTTAGAGTTTCTTTGGTTCAACAATTGATGATAATTTTCTTCGTCAAGCTGAAGCTCTTACAAAACCAGAATCATCATCATCACTTTATTATCCATCTCCATTTGCTTGTTCATCCGGCACAGCTACTGTTTCATCGTCATCGTCTTCATCATCTTCAACAGCCATTTATCCAGGTTCATCAGCAATGGAATCTTATCTTCTTTCTGAACAAAATCAACATAATCATCATCATCATAATCATCATTCACAAATAACATCTGAATTACATCCATTTTATCAACAACAATATGCTGCTGTTGCTCATCATCATGCTGCAGCAGCTGCTGGAGTTTTACCCGGTATGGTTGTTGGTATGCATCATCATTCCGTTCATCAACATGGTTTTGTTGCAGGTCTTGTTCCATCACATGAACTCGATGTTGATCCACGTGAACTTGAAGCATTTGCTGAACGTTTTAAACAACGTCGAATTAAATTAGGTATTACACAAGCTGATGTTGGACAACAATTATCTAAATTAAAAATGCCTGGTGTTGGTTCTTTATCTCAATCAACAATATGTCGATTTGAATCACTTACATTATCACATAATAATATGGTTGCATTAAAACCAGTACTTCAATCTTGGTTAGAATTTGCTGAAGCTGAAATGAGACAAAGAAAAAAAGATGAAATGAATGGTTCAATTGGTGGTTCAAGTGGACATGGAAGTTCCAATGGAAGTTTAATTGATAAAAAAAGAAAACGTACATCAATTGCAGCACAAGAAAAACGTTTTCTTGAATCATGTTTTATTCAACAACAAAGACCGAGTGGTGAACGTATTGCCCAAATAGCCGATAAACTTGATTTAAAAAAGAATGTTGTTCGTGTTTGGTTTTGTAATCAACGACAAAAAAATAAACGTTTAAGATTTGCTGCTGGACAATCATCATAATATTAAACAAAAAAACGAAGAATACGAAGTTATTATTTAAAGATCAATCAATCCGTCCATCTCAATGAGTTTATATATATATTCGTTTTTTTCTTCTTCTTCTTCTTTTTCTTTTTTCTTGTTCTTATTCATTTTTTTTGTTGTTGTTTTTTGCTGTTGTCTATCTATCACATTGTTGTCTTCTTTTTAGTAGTTCATCTTTATTTTCAAGCACAAAGTGTATATTCTTTGTTCTATAATAATTCTTTTGAATGAATATAAAATATACTTTAATTGTTTTGTATATGATAAGAAAATTAAAATATTCAATGGATTTAAAAGTACTTATTATATGAAGCAGAAATCATAAGGAAAATTTAATAATTATTGATTGTAAGTATACATAACTCATATAGTTTGATTATGTATATTGGAATCTATTAGATAATGTAGGAATTGTAATTATTTCTTTAAAAAATTTAATAGAAAACGCGCTACTCTTTTTGATGATTTAAAAATTAATAAATACAATAACAAGATTTTTCATTTTATTTTACTTTATATGTAAATTTCAGATATTATATTTATCTTACTTTTATGTAAAATTTAAATATATGCAATCGTATAATTGGATATAATGACACATTTTGTTATTTCTCTATTTGCTGCTTTGGGTGTTGTTATAATCATTATTGTATTTGGTCTCATTTTGACACAAATATTTATCAGTAGAGCTGATATCGCTCAAACAAATACGAATATTCAATCAGATTTACTCCAAGGTATTATCGTTGATATTGATCAAATACCAGAAACTCAACAAGAACCAGGAATAACTGTCATATCTAATGATATCATTGATGGTACAGCTCATCATCATTATCATATCAAGAAGAAAACTGTATCTGTTATTGATCAAAATATTCAGATTAACCATAAGGATCCGACAAGACCAATTAAAACTGATAATACTATAATTTCATCAAATATAAGTATAGTAAATCCTTTAATTGATAAGATTACATTGGAGTATTAAACTATTGAAAAAGCAACAAGTCGATATTATTCATTTATTTGATAATGAAAAGAAGATTATTAATACTATTATTATAACAAAGCTTGTTTATTTAGAATGAAAGATTTCTAGTATAAGTAATTAATGAATATTAACTATTTTGGAAGCAAACAATATTCATTCCACCGAAAGAAAAAAGGTTGCTATTACTAAGTAATAACACAAAATAGATGAGCAAATATATACATATGCAAATTAGTATGATTACATATAGAAAGTTACAGATCTAATAGAGAAAAGGTAAGGGCGCTAGATTAAATAATTAGGATTGTCATGTAAGAAAATGATAAATTAAGATTTCATTATTGATTCTTGGGCTTTTAAAGCTTTTCGTTCACGCTAAAATATAACAAAAATATATATATATATATAGAAAAATAATAAATAGTCTAAGTTTTAATCTTACTTCACGTCTTAAAGCTTGATTAGATTCATAAAGACTTTTTGCTTTAGCAATTTGAACTTCATGTGGTATATCAGGAATAGCAAAACTAATAGCAAATTTTAATGCTAAGAGAACATGCTAGAACGAAAATAAATATTTTCTATAAGATAAACAAATATTATATAAAAGAAAACTGATCATACTTCAGCCGCAACGAAAAATAGAATATATTCAGCATCTGTATATGATGAAAAATATTCACGAACTGATGGTTGCATTGCAATCAAAGCTGTATTAGTAACAATAGCTACTAAACTTAGAATATCGAATGCATAATGCCAACTACCTAGAAATAAAGAAATTAATAATTATTAAAAGAATTTCAATATAAAAAATAAATCTAATCGACCTATATTCCATGCAGGTTGAGCAAATGGACGTTGATAAACGTAACAATATTTAAAAGCATCAGCACGAAGTTCAAATATATTATTAATTAATGCACAAATTGTTACCCAGGGAAAGACCTAATTAATAAATAATCATAAATAACTTGATTAATAATTTATTTAAGTCTTGAATTTTATATAAAGTCTTTCTTATTAACTATGTCTATGATAGACGAAAGTAAAGAAAATAAATACTAATGAAACGTAATAAAATTACTTTAGAGTGATTATCATACTTTAATTGTTTCTTAAAAAAACGTTGCTTGGTAAAGTCTTTGATCTGCAATCTAATAAGTAGCATGTCATGCAGTAATAGCTTATTTACAGAGATAATTTTAGCAATATGATCCAATTTAATGTTTTCGAAGGAATGGACTGTAGGAATGTATAGAATTTGATTCGTGCACTCATTTTTTTGTCCGATTTTTCGGAATAAGTCTCGGATTTTCTAAGAGTGATTGACGCTGTGTTTTGTATATACTATATCAAGTAGAAATCATTCACGTAAGTAGCAGTAGTAAATGATTGACTTTGAATCGGAAATTATACATCTCAATTTTGTACGAGAACAAAATTTTAGATTCAAAGTCACTTATTTACATGATGATATAGGTCAATAAATCGCTCATAACTTCATCCTAAAACAACTAAGGCACAAATCAACTTCAGATATCTCATTAGGATTTACAAGATAAAATTAGTCCGAGTCAAAAAGGTCGAGAGATTCTCTCGTAAGTGTCTTATGATAAATATATTTGTTAAACTTACTGCTGAAAATAAAGCTACATAACCATATTGTTCAAAAATAGTTAAATAATCTGAATATGTTCCCTAAAAACAAATCAAATAATATATATATATGTTAAAAAAGAATCAAATATTTTAAATTACTTCAAATGGAGTTAATGTTTTTGCTTGCTTAACTGCATCACTAACTTTTGCATCTGTTGGTGCTCGATTAACTACTAATTGACTTTTTTTAACACGTTTGAATATATATGGACCAATTTGTTCAGTGAATTTTAATAGAATTGCATTAATAATAACAAATGCTGTTAATAACTAAGATGAAAATTTCTATAAGAAAATAATCGAACTTATTTTTATTTACTTGTGCAACATTTCCATAGTTAGCATTAAAAAATGCTTCATAAAAAAGGCCAATAAAACAGTTCATGAAATAGAAAAGAAATAATTTTGATGTTAAATTATTTTCATAACCTGATTGAAGACGATGATTTTCTATAAAAAAAACACTATATTAGAAATTTCTTCTGTATGTTTTCTTTTTTACCGTAATTAGTTAGATATGTAGCTAATTTTTTATAAACCATATTCAATGGAACAACAAATAATGAATAACCAATTGATGGTGCCAATCGCATTACTTTTGCTCTAGGAAGATATATACTTTTATCTAATGGATAAGTCTTCTCTGTTTTCTTCTGAATAGCATAATAAGTAAAATAAATCCATAATGTTAATGCTAAACAAAACATGGTGATTGGATAAGTGACCAAATATTTTTTCAATGATCGTTTCCATCTAAACAATAGAGAAAGATCGTAATCATATGTTTGATTCTAATGAGTTATAGTTAGGAGTAAAGAATAGTTATAATGGAATTTCAACTGAACGTATATTTTTCTATACAATTAGTATCTTACGTTGGATATCGTCGTTCTTGTTGATTTGTTACTGGTGAACGATGTAAATCTCCATAGTAAAGTGAACGAGGACGTTCGAAAACTTGTAAATCAAGTGTACCCCATTGATAAGCAAGTGTAATACTGACACGTTTCCATCGTTCAATCTAAATTTCGAAATATAAATAATTTAATATAATTATTTAAAAATTATTACATACAAATATACTCCACCAAATAACATTAAAAATACAAAATGTTGAATATTTAAAAAAATCTGAACTTGGCCAGAAGCTAAGAATAAGACCTGAAACATAATGAAGTATTTGTATAGGCGAAAAAAAGAAACAAGAATGATATTTACCAAGTAAAGCAGTTGGTATAAGTGCTTTGGTATAAAATTCCAAGAATGCAAAATAATATGCAACATTTTCACCAAAATAATTTCGAACTTTATCTAAACAAAAAAAGAAAATGTTTAGGAAATTTATCTTTAATTATTTAACAATAATTTCTTACGAATATCTTGTGATTTAAATAATGAATCTTTTGACATGAACCAATCATGTTCAATTAATTTAATATCTTCTTTATCATGTAATGGAAAAATACTAACAATAAAATCCATATCACGAAGAAGACCAACTAAGAAAATAGTATTATTTTTATTTCTCATATATATTTTATAATTCGATTTTACATACGAATAGTATCATTCTCAGGTGTTATCGCTTTTGTAGGAAATCCTGGTACAAAATGTTCATGTTCCAATGGACGAATAACTTGCATTTCTTCCCATATAATTCTTTGTTTTTCAGATTTCAATAGAAAATTCGTTGGATTTTCTAATAAATTAAAATAATATTATCAATAGAAGAAATGAACAATATTCTACCAGAATTATCAAAATGATCAATATCCGACACAAGAAATTCTCGTAATGTTTTTTGTTTATAAGGTTTTTTAATTCGTAATTCTTCGGCACCGATTAATAAACGATGAAGTGTAGCACCAATTAAAAGAATATTATTCTAATAGAATAAATAAAGAATATTAATAGGAAAAGAAAAATTCTTACATGACTTTCTGGATCCATATCATATCGGACAAGTAAATCAGCACCATCATTCTCTTCTTGACTAGCAGTTAATCGTTTAATTACCCATTCTTTAGTAACATCTGGTATTGTAGAGGAAAATTGAAGAACAACAAGAGGTTCAAAAGTTGAAGAGGATGACATTTTTATGTCATAAATCTAAATAATTCATTAAACATACAAAAAATGATTTGAACTTTAATATAACTCTATTGAATGCACTAGTATTAGGAATCGAACTGAAGACATACAGTTTCCTCCCCTGGCGATGTGTAATAAAAACAGAATTGTAAGTCATAATTCATGATGCGTTGCTAATGTATACAATATGATATTGAAGTAGAAATAGAATTATCAATTTCAAACTACATTCGCTTAGTAGAAGACATTTATATATACTTTATTTCTGACTTTTATAGTTTACACTCGATTACAATCAAACAACTGCGCTAAATCTCTCATTCGACTCTTTCACCTACATGATAGCATCGTTTTCTTTGATATGATTCATCAAATATGTGATTGGTTCAATATTTTCCAATGAGAAAAATCGTAGAAATTCTATAAATATATTTTATAATTAATGATAGAAAAAATTGTAATAATATATTTCGTTTATTTTAAAAATCATTTTGTCTTATAATTTCTTCGATCAAATCAGATCGGATAGACAATCAATCCATATTTTACCTTCTTCGGAGTATTTCTCACATAAACAGTTTCCATTTTTTTGTATACTATATTTATCATCATGTATTAAAACTTTTGTTAAAAATCTGCATATGATGTATATTTATTTAAGACAGATTAGTCTGATTAATTCTGAGAGAAACCTTACTTCGACTGATGCAGAATTAATATTTTTTTTTATTTTTAATCATTCCGATGATGATATCTGTTGGATTGAAGAGCATTTAAGCTGTATGACGAACAAACAACTACTTAATAAATTTTTGTTTTTCAGTGTAAAACAAAAATAGG